CTCATATATTACACTGCAGGCTCGGCCATGCCAGCTTCCCGGTTATTAAGAAAATGCAAGATTTTTCTGATGGGCTTAAGATAAAGAATTGTAATACCTATTTGGAATGTGCCATCTGTAAGGCAGCAAAATCTAAAACTGCTGCTATACCTAAGGTCTCTTCCCGTCGTGCAAGGTACCCTTATCAGCTGGTACACATGGATTTGGTTGGTCCTTTTAGACCCTCCCTTGGTAGGGGGTGTTATTTTTTAACGGTAGTAGATGATTACTCTCGTTATGGCCATGTATTTATTTTAAAGGACAAAACTGAAGTCTTTACCAACTTCAAATATCTTTACAACCAGATCCAAACGCAACACAAGGTGTGCATCACTCAGGTGCAGAGTGATAGGGGGACTGAGTTTACATCCAAGATTTTCGAAAAGTGGATGAAGGAGAGAGGTATCCTCCATTTTAAATTATCCCCTCGAACTCCATCCGAGAATGGTATTTCAGAAAGGAGAAATGGAGTGCTGCAGAATGTCATGAACTGCCTACTTGCAGATGCTGACATGAGCCAAGCTTTTTGGGCAGAAGCGGTCAAAATGGCTAATTATCTAGTCAACAGGACGTGGAGTAGTGCCATTAACCAAACCCCATACTTCCTGGTCCATGGAAGGAAACCTAGTCTCTCACACCTGAGAATTTTTGGTTCCTATGCCTGGGTCCATATTCCCAAGCACCTCAGAAGAAAGGGGGGCAAGGCATCAAGGAGACTCAGATTTATAGGTTATGCAACCGGCAGCAAGGCCTCTAGGTTTGTAGACAAAAATAACCTTGGCTCTAGATCAGCTTCCTTTGAGGAGGGGTCAAATTGGTCAAAAATTCATTCCAATGAACCTGGTTATTCCCCTATTAGAAGCGACACTGAACAAGCAGCACCACCTGAAGAGGATGAGCCAACAAACTCCAAGCAACTGACCAGCGAAGATCCAGATGGTGATGAATCCCTACCTGACTCTGACGATTCAGACAAGGAATCCCTGGGTGACTTCACACCTCCTGCCTCACCTAAACGACCATATCTTCGCAGCGCCTGGGACAGAAGCCCGCCCCATTTTGATTGGAAAGATACCTCCGGCAGCTCCAATTCTGACACCGATGCTCCAGATGACGATGATGGTGAGTGGCAATTTCCCAGACGGTCAAAATGCTCCAATAAAGGTTGGACATTGGCTGTGTTGCCTCGATCAACAGTGTTACCATGGCCCCTAAAACATACTCAGATGTCCTCCAGCTTCCCGAGGAAGAACAGCGCAGGTGGAGGGTGGCAATGGAGCGGGAAATGGACAGTCTCAAAAAATTGAAAGTCTTCATCCCCATGGAAGTCCCCAAAAAGAGGGAAGCAATTGGCACCCGTTGGGTCTACAAGGTCAAGCCAATGCCCAACAACAAACTCCTCTATAAGGCCCGGCTGGTAGCACAAGGCTACTCACAGCGCTACTTGCAGGACTTTGATGAAACATACTCCCCCACCGTGAGAGCAGAAAGTGTGAGGGCTGCTTTGGTCACCGCAGCAGCACATGGGGAACACATTTTTCAATTTGATGTGCAAACTGCTTATTTACACGCACATCTAAAACAAGAAATTTACGTCAGAGGTGCCCCCGGATTTCAACAGCAGGAAGGCCACACCTGGCTTCTGAAGAAAAGTTTGTACGGCCTCAAACAATCAGGCAGACTGTGGTACAAATGCCTGACTAAAACTCTCAAATCACTGGGTTTCCATCCATCTCCAGCTGATAAATGTACCTTCACAAGGGATACCAAAGGGGGGCTGGAGAAAGTCCTAGTGTATGTCGATGATCTTTTATATATAGGGCCTGACAAGGGGGGAAGTATTATATTTGCCAGGACCCTACAAAAAAAGTTCACTCTAAAGTCTTTAGGATATGTAGACAAGTACCTAGGCGTACAAATCATCACTACACCAAAAGGTTTTGCCCTCTCCCAAAAGGAAAAGATAGAGGAACTCTTGGTGAAATGTAAAATGGAAGATAGCAAGCCAACGGCTATCCCAATGCAGACCGACTATTATGGATTGGCACACAAGGATAGCCCAGAGTTCCAAAATAATACTCTATTTAGGTCAGTGATCGGCTCATTACTATATATAAGTAACTGGAGCCGTCCAGATATTGCCCTGGCCGTAAACCTGCTATCTAGACAAGTGGAACATCCTACCCAGTTCCACTGGTTGGCCATTAAAAAGCTATTAAGGTATCTCAAGACCACAGCAGATTATGTGCTTCGCTTGGAACCTGAGAATAGAGACAAGGCCCAATTAAAATGCTTCGCGGATGCGGACTGGGCCGGAGATACCAAGACACGTAGGAGTACTTCGGGCTTCTTGGTACTATTAAATGAGGCACCCATCCATTGGCATGTGGGGCAACAGAAATTTGTTTCGTGCTCCACCGCTGAGGCCGAATATGCATGCTTATCAGAGGCAGGGAACGATCTGATATGGTTTGATGCCTTAATTTCTAGCATCTGGACACCACCGACTTTGCCCATCCAAATTATAGAAGACAACACCGGGGCCATAGGCATTGCCAAAGCATATGTGGTGGGAAAAAGGTCCAGACATATTGATATCCGCTATCAAAATGTTAGGCAACTAGTAGAGATGGGATTTATATCTTTATCACATTGTCAGACCAAATATCAAACAGCTGATATTTTCACAAAACCTCTACCAGCAGATAGGCACAAAGATCTGTGTAAAAAGTTATGTCTCACAGGGTAAAATCTGTTGTGCATTGCATTTGTATGTTTGCATGCCATCGGCTCGCAAGGAGGGGAACTGTCAAGTATTTGCAAGCCATTGGCACATATATCATACAGACACTAGTGGAGGCAGAAAGTGCCCCCACCCCTATGTGGAGAGGAGGGGCTTACACTGAGTATAAAACCCCCTCTAACCTTTCCACCATGCTCTCTTTTACGTTTGTTCTCCATGAGACATGATCTTTGATAGGGGTAGTCACACACGCTGTGTGCCCCCTATCCTAATGGATATTAAGACAGCCTTTGTATATAGTTAATATGTTTTGTTATATGAATACATACATTTATCACATTTATTCATGCATCTGCCTTTGGACTCTTCTATGCTCCTGGGTGATTCTACGATCCCAATTTCCACAGCTTGCAATTCTTGTTACTGTGAGAGGCTGCACATCACTTCTGGGCAGGGGAGGCTTGGTCTCCTTACCCGGTTCCTCTCTACCATTTCCCTCTCTCTCTCTCTCCCTCCCTCCCACTCTCTCTCTTCCTCTCTCCCCCTCTCTCTCTCTAACACACACACACATTTGATCCTTGAACTGCTGTGCACTTTTCGCCCAGAGGGAGACAAAGTGGATGAAAATTGTTTAGGCACCTGATAGGTGCTGGCCTGCATTGTCAAGTGTTTGGGCTGCTGAGCGCTGGCCTTCATGCCTACTTGGTGCTGCAGGTGCCGGGCTACAGCTATGCTGAGCCTGGCGTTCTTTGGGCCCTGGCCCTGGTGGCCACTGCAGTTCTCATGCCAGCTGTGTGAGGCAAGCATGGGGCTGACCCTGGTCATCTGCAATGGCTCTGCAGCTGCTTCACCTTCTGTCCGGCCAAGCCCACTGCCAAGCTCCAGTTGCTACCCAGCAACCATCACTACCTCTCGCTGGAGCCAGCTGGCAGGAGAGCTACAGTGCCCACCAGGATCAGGGTTGTAGCCCGGTGTCTGAAGCCCCAAGTAGGCATGCAGGCTGGTGCTCAGCAGCCCAAAGGAGATGCCTTCCAGCTGGAGTTCCGTGTCCAGCTGGGGGACGGTTCCCAAGACTGCCTGATTCTCAACCAGCCAGCTGCATGATGAGAGGGGGCTTCCTGCCCAGCTGAAAGAGAGGCTGGGTTGTGTAAAGGGGCTTTCCTCCCTGAGATCCTCACAAGCACCAAGCTGCGGGCTCCACCCTGGTAACCTCAATTGGGGCCAATGTCTTGGAATGCCCAGGCCTCCACCCACCCTGCCAGGAGGGCGAAGAGCGGCTGGGCAGCCACTTAGCAGCCAACATGGCATCTGCCATGGTTGAGAAGTGTCCCAGCAGCAGCTGGGTCAGCAAGTAAGGCAGGTGGAGGCTAAGGTGTGCCAAGAGATTGGCCCATTGTGGCCGCAGACAGTGGGACGGAGAAGGCAGGGCCAGCAGTAGCTGAGCTCCCACTCCCGTTAGCCCCTGTGTTCACCACCTCCTGCACGTCAAAAAATAAGACCTCCCAAGGGCTTATTTTGGGGCCCAAAAGAAAATAAGACTGGGTCTCTTATTTTTGGGGAAACACATTATCTCATATCTTATCAATAATCAAATTACAAAACAAAAAAAATCATTAAGTCCTAATCAGCAAAAGTCTGCTAAGAGCTATCAGAAATATTAATCTATATATTTTAATTTTAATAAAAACATTCAATTTTATAATCCAAACTTATCATTTTCTCTAACAAATAAAGCAGAAGAAATCTGCCTTTTTTGTTGCAGAAATCATAAATAAATATTTAAAGTTTTGACATACAATCTGGATCAAAAAGAACTTCCATTAACAGCTACCAGAAGCTACATCATATATATTTAACCCTTATCAAAGAGATTCACTTAATGAATCTTCTTTTCATTTTTAAAAAGCTTAATCTTTAATCCCATCAAGTAGTATCCCATAAACTGATTTCTTATCTCTATCTCTTTGTATCTTTCAAGGAGCAGCTTGAAAAATTCCTCTTTATTCTTCTAAGAAAGAGTTTCCATTATTGTACATTCGTTTCATAAATCCAAAGTAAGGTTTTCCAAATTGCTCTTTTGTGCACTCAGATTTCATAATTCTTTTTCTCCTATTAAAGCAGTTTAAAAAGTAAAAGCTAATAGTGAGTCACGAAATATGGGGCACCATTATATAAAAGACAAGGCTAACATTAATGCAGGTACTTTTACATTCTTCACCTTTTCCTTGACGTCATCCATTAAGGCCAGTAAGAATGTATATAGATTCCCTAGGAAAAGTGCAAAAATGCGTCCTAGTTGCCATTTCAGCCCAATACGGGGATGATAATCTTCTAAGGCTGCAATGGTTTCAAACAGTGGCGGGCAAAACATTCCAAGTAGTGACATAACAATTTCAACCTGCCAAAAAAGGGAGAGAGAACTTTTGTCACAATGGAATCAGCTAAGTACATCCCTGCTGCTGATTGAGCATCTTGGGAACTCTTCACTTAAACGGACTATCACAGGAATAACAAAGGTTAAAAGATGGGAGATCATAGCTACAAAGGATGACCAAAACTCTGCCTGTAGTATTAGAAGCTTTAATTATACCACTGCAGCCATTATCTTGACTTTAATGACCGTGCCCTACAGACACTCTTATATAAAAGTGAAAGTGGGCTCTATTATTGCATCCATAAACTGTCCTGCAACATCTGCTCACAAATTCTGTCCATGTTGAAAAATGAAGACCAGAATGAGAGTGAATTTAATATTAATAACAGCTTCACTTCTCCTGGATCACATGCCCAGATAGGCAGATTCAATTGAAAAGAGATTGTACTGTAGGAAAAGATAACTTTTGTCTGAAGAGGGCAACATAAGAAATGCCAGTACTATACACATGTTTAAAAACATTGTTGTCTTACTTCGTTTCTTTCATACCAGCCGATGTTTTGCATTTTTGAAAAGGCCTGGGATCGTTTCACAACAAAATAAATGAGGTAGCCACTTCCACATAAGCAACATATTATAAGTACATTGGCCAAAACCCTCAGAAATCTTCTTAGATGGATGTTTTCATCTTTGTTGCTTTCTTGCTCATCCACAATTGACTCCTTAATAGATGTAAGAAACAATGGGAATAATTATTCAGAGTGTAGCCTATGCAAATTTTACAGAAAGCAATTCGCATTATATTCAGACATACAAATTTTTAGGATGTGCATGTAGGATTGCAGCCAATTGTATATGAAAAAACACACATTCATTTGCAAAACAAATACAGTTGTGATTTTTCAACAAAGGATGTTCTATTTCATAATATATATTGTATTATGTATCAACTGGATGATAATACTTTTTATAATCATTTAAATGCTTTTTATAAACATATAAATAGCTAGCTTTTATAATCTATGGCTGCTATCTTGTTACAATCTTATAATGCAGATGAATAAAGTGATATAAAAAAACTGAGTTTGATTACAAATGAACAAAAGAAGGTGAAGATTGCTGGATCTGGTTCTTGTATCTACTTATATGTATGTTTCTTCTTTAGAAAAGAGAGGAGGATGAAACTTCTGCAACTGCTTCCTCCTAAGATCCACATTACTTACTTTCTAGGTTTTCTTGATTTTGCAAGAGTGTTATTCCATAGGAAAGGTGCTGCCACTGATAAGGCATGATTCCATGCTCTAACAAGATAACATTGTTTAATAAAAGGAACCTGGATAATACCAGGGGTGAAATGCTTCCGGTTCAGACTAGATCTCCTGATCCGGTAGCGATGGTGACGGGTGGTTCGGAAAACTGGTAGCAAAAATCCCTATGCCCTCCCCATGCCCAGCTGAGCTGCGCGATCATCAGGCTGTTTTTTAAAAATTTTAAAAGCATTTTTTCTACAACCTCTTTGGCCAAAAAAATGCTTTTAAAAGTAAAAAAAAAGCATCTGATGATCGCGCAGCTCAGCTGGGATCGCCAGAGGCTTTTAAAAGCATTTGGTTGTGGAAAAAATGCTTTTAAAAGCCTCTGACGATCCCAGCTGAGCCGTGCGATCATCAGAGGCTTTTAAAAGCATTTTTTTACAACCTCTTCGGCTGAAGAGGTTGTAGAAAAAACGCTTTTAAAAGTAAAAGTAAAAAAAAAAAGTTGGCCATGCCCACCCAGTCACATTACCCCCCCAACACACACGTGAAGCCACGCCCACAGAACCGGTAGTAACTAATTTTACATTTCACCATTGGATAATACCCTCTCTACTAAATTTGATGGAGTGGGCAGAAACAATAAGGGAAAGATGGTGCTATAAGTAGCCTGGCTCTATGCCATAGATGGCTTTATAGATAATGACCAGCACATTGAATCACACCCACAAGTCTAGTAAGAGTCAGTGGTGTTACATAGGCATAACAAGAAATACCAAAAAATGCTGATGCTGTAGAATTTTGGACCAGCTGTAGCTCCTGATCGCTCTTTAATAGCAGTACTATATAGAGAACATGACAATAATCCAAACTGCATGACTGAGTTACCACCTGGCACAGGAATGGGTGCAATTAGTGCACAAGGCAAATAAGTGCAAATCAAAGCTGCCATCTGCGCTTTGAGCAAAAGCTGAGAAGGTCCAGGAAGACCTCCAAATTGTACACCAACTCTGACTGGAAGTGCATCTCCATGCAAAATTAAAGATAAAATTTTCCCTGTAATTAGCCTTAAAACCTACAGCAATTCCACTATCATATATTTTAAAAGTTTGTTTATGTTTGATGAGAATATTGAATTGAAACATTATAAACCTGTATTTTAAAAAAGCGAGGAACATGAGTTGCTTGTAATGTGTCACATGGGACCTCAATATTGACTATAAGGAGCAACGAGACCTTCTAATGAAGACACTGATCACACAAGTAGTTACAGTGTTAAGAAAAAATTGCATATCTTCTGATAAGATGCTGGATATGAGAATTCAGTTGTTGTGTACAATATGTATATTTTCTTCTTTGACATTTTGCCAAAGTTCCAATGTGATAGAGGTGTTTGCATTTTGCCTGGAGAGTACCTTGAAGCTAGTTGTGATGGATGCAAACTTGTTATCTGCTGTCTCTGGATTGCCTATAAGGTAGTCCCAGCTAGTGAACATTTTCCAGCTAAAAATGAAGTTCTCATCATCTCCATCTCCTGTGTCTTCATGGGCATTCCGGGCCATCCTGCAGGTGGAATAGTATGTAGCCTTTTTAGCCATCAGACGTCTCTCTTATGCACAGATTTTTTTGCAGCAATTTCTGTGCTTTCTCTGCTGCTTTAGGCTGCCTCTGAACATGAAAACTATCTTTTAAAAAAAGCCCTGTTAAAATTCCATAAATTAGCTTTAAAATCTTTATCACTAATTAAGGACACACTGAATAAATGAATGAATGAATGAACAAACAAATGCTTCACTTACGTTGTTCTGGCATACCTTTGAATAAATGCCACACTAATATACCATGTAATCTCTATTAAGATGGCGTTCTCCAATTTCTTGGATTTTATGATTAAGATAGAATAAGTGGGCAGTTTCAATTTTGGTGTATCTGGCTTGTATCTTCTGGGATAGTGAAATAAAGTTATTGAAGCCAAAGCAAGATCAATATCTTGAAGATGTGCATCCAGTGGCGGATTAAGGCTCACTGTGCCCCAAGCATTGACAAATCTTGGTATCCCCTTCCTCTGTACAAATCTTCATTTGTTTTTTTTTTCTTTCTCAACTTTGTGGTACCCCCTTTGGGCCTGGTGCCCTAAGCACGTGCTTAGTCTGCTTAATGGTCAATACACCACTGTGTGCATCTTTGCCTGTTTCCTTCTATTTAGTCTGAAAGAGATACGGTTGCTTCAGGGGAAGATTATATAGTGTGGAGCTACACAAAGAACAAATAGAACTTACGATCTTATTACAACCATCAGGCTATAGCCATATACGCCGATGACACCAACCATGAAATATGCCATTGGTAGCCTGTACTTTAACCAACCAATTGTCCTTTGATTGTTGTAGTAGCCATAGAAAATTGCTGAATATTTAATATAACCCTGAAAAGAGGAAAGGAATATATCAGATGTCCACTGATATAGATTTAAAATCTAAGCTTATTCCATTATGAGTGGCTGGTTGGGGACCAACTGGATTCATTCTAAAATTCTGATGATTGAAGTCTGTCTAGTATGTTCTATATAAATATCAGTTTCAGCATAATCTTCAATGTATTTATTTAAAAAACTCTGAATTCAATAAGTATTACTTTTTAGTATTTAGATTTGGCAGCTAGATTTAGTAAAGGTATTCAGGACCATTTTAAAAGCAATTTTCAAACAAACATCTTTTCAAAGTAATAGTTTCCTCAAACTATGTTGCCATAGCTGTGCCATGAGAGCACTGTTTCTGCTTTTCTAAACACTAGGGGAAGAGCTGTATACTAGAGTATACTGTACATTATGTTCCGTGCTTACAATCATTTTAGCACATTTTCTGTAGCAGTGTTTAGATCTGTTCTTTCACTGTTATGCTGCAAATGCAAAAATAAAATAAACAATAAGAACACCCTAATTTTTCTAAGACTAAGAATTTATTATTTTCATTAAATATTCTTATTAGCTTGGTGATCTTGAAATTTCTTACCACTATTTCTCTGGGTTTTTCCAGTGCCAGCAAAAAATGAAAATTATAGCCTCCAGAACATTCTTTCAAAATAAATGTCTTCAGCTAAAATTAAACCTATCTGTCATCGTGTTGTATAACTGATTTACTGGAAAAATATTATTTAAATTGAAGTCTAACTCATCTATGCTACCTGAAGCTGGGCATACTGGGATCAAAATTACTGACTATTCATCTTTTTCACAGTTGAATCTAATCTTAATGATATATACTCTATGAAATATATTGTGCTGATCTTCAATGCATTTGCAGATAGGCTAACTTTGTGAACCTGCAGAGGTAGTACTATCGGATAGGGATCATTATAAAATGCTAATATATAGTCTATCTGGTATTAGAATTTCTATAAACAATTCTTACGATTGGATTCACACATATGTGTTTATTAGTTTTAACTGATTAATAGAGTTGGAAGGGATCTTGTAGGTCATTTAGTCCAACTCCCACCAAGCAGGAGACCCTACAGCATTTCTGACAAATGGCAGTCCAATCTCTTCTTGAAAGCCTCCAGTGATGAAGCTCCCACAACTTCCAAAGGCAAGCTGTTCCATTAGTTGATTATTCTCACTGTCAGAAAATTTCTCCTTATTTCTAGGTTGAATCTCTTCTTGATCAGTTTTCATCCATTATTCCTTGTCTGGCCTTCAGGTGCTTTGAAAAATAAGTTGACACCCCACCCTCTCTGTGACAGCCCCTCAAATATTGGAACACTGCTATCATGTCTCCCTTGGTCCTTCTCTTCACTAGACTAGCCATGCCCAGTTCCTGTAACCATTCTTCATACGTTTTAGTCCCCAGTCCCCTAATCATCCTGGTTGCTCTTCTCTGGACTTTTTCTAGAGTCTCAACATCTTTTTTATAGTTGGTGATCAAAACTGGATGCAGAATTCTAGGTGTGGTCTTACTAAGGCTTTATAGAGTAGTATTAATACCTCACTTGATCTTGATAGTATCCCTCTGTCAATGCAATTTAGGATTGCATTGGCTTTTTTGACTGCCGCCACACACTGCTGGCTCATATTTAACTGATTGTCGACTAAAACTCCAAGATCCCTCTCACAGTTACTGCTATTAAGCCTGGTTTCACCCAGTCTATATGTGTACTTTTGGTTTTTCTTGCCTAAGTGTAAGAGTCTACTTTTCTCTACATTGAATTTCATTTTGTTAGATAGGGCCCAGTGTTCAAGTCTGTCAAGATCCATCTAGATCTTTGAGCGTATCATCTATGGTGTTAGCTATTCCAGCCAGCTTAGTATCACCCACACACTTGGTAACTTCCTCTTCTATTCCCTCATCCAAGTCATTTATAGTACCCCACTACTTCCCTCCATGTAGACGTAGACCCATTAAGGAGTATTGGTTAAGTATGCTTTTATAAATCCATTTGGTGGTGATGCTATTTATCTTTTGCCAAGAAGTAGGTTGTGGTCTACTTTGTTGAATACCTTGCTAAAGTCTAAGTATATTATGTCCACAGTATTTGGCTGGTCTACTAATTTAGTCATTATGTTGAAGAATAAAATAAGATTGGTTTGGCATGATCTGTTTTAATAAACCCATGTTGACTGCTAGTTATTACTTTATTCATTTCTAGATATTGGCAGATCTGTTTTTTAAAATTATCTTTTCTAGTATCTTCCCAGGTATTGATGTTAGGCTGATTGGTCTGTAGTTTCCTGGGTCTGTTTCCCCCCCCCTTTTTTTTTGAAGATGGGAACCATATCAGCTCTTTCCCAGTCCTCTGATAGTTCCCCTGTGCTCCAGGATTTTTGAAAGCGATGACATCTGCCAGCTCCTTTAGAACTCTGGGGTGTGATCTGTCAGGTCCTGGTGATTTGTATTCATCAAGATCAAACAGGTGTTCTCTTACTATTTTAACTTTGCTTATTTTAACATTTATTTTTAGTCTGTCTTTTACAGTTATATTTTTGGTAGGTTGGGAGAAGACCAATGCAAAGAATGAGGATAAAACATATGAAGAACGGTTGCTGGAACTGGATCAGGGATGAAATGCTCCAGACTGGATTGCCCGATCCGGTAGTGATGGAGGCGGGTGGTTCGGAGAATCAGTAGCAAAAATCCTTGCCCTCCCCAGGCTCAGCTGGGCCACACAATCATCAGATGCTTTTTTTTTTTACTTTTAAAAGCATTTTTTCTACAACCTCTTCAGCCCAAAAAATGCTTTTAAAAGTAAAAAAAAAAAAAGCCTCTGATGATCACGCGGCTCAGCTGGGATCATCAAAGGCTTTTAAAAGAAAAAAACCCTCTGCTGATCAGGCAACTCAGCTTGGATCGTCAGAGGCATTTAAAAGAAAAAAAAATTTTTTTTCTTTTAAATGCCTCTGACGATCCAAGCTGAGTTGCCTGATCGCCAGAGGCTTTTTTTCTTTTAAAAGCCTCTGACGATCCAAGCTGAGTTGCCTGATTGCCAGAGGCTTTTTTTCTTTTAAAAGCCTCTGACAATCCAAGCTGAATTGCCTGATTGTCAGAGGCATTTAAAAGAAAAAAAGCCTCTGTCGATCAGGCAACTCAGCTAGGATCGTCAGAGCCTTTTGAAAGCATTTTTAACAACCTCTTCAGCCGAAGAGGTTGTAGAAAAAATGGTTTTAAAAGTAAAAAAAAAAAATGGCCACGCCCACCCAGTCACATTACCCCCACCATCACCACCAAGCCACGCCCACAGAACCGGTAGTAACAAATTTTAGATTTCACCACTGAACTGGATATGTCTAATCTTATGAAAAGAAGGATTAGGGGTGACATGATAGCAGTGTTCTGATATCCCAGGAGTTGCTACAAAGAATAGGAAGCCAAATTATTCTCCAATGCACATGAGGGTAGAACAAGAAGCAATGGGTGGAAATTAATCAAAGAGAGAAGCAAGTTAGAACTAAGGAGAAATTTTCTGACAGTTAGAACAATTAATCAATGGAACAACTTGCCTCCAAAAGTTATAAATGCTCCAACACTGGAAGTTTTTAAGAAGACATTAGATAACTGTTTGTCTGAAGTGGTGTAGGGTTTCCTGCCTAAGCAGGGGATTGGACTAAAAGACCTCCAAGGTCCCTTCCAATTCTGCTATTCTATTCTGTTCTGTTCTGTTCTGTTCTGTTCTGTTCTGCTCTGCTCTGCTCTGCTCTGCTCTGCTCTACTCTACTCTACTCTACTCTACTCTACTCTACTCTACTCTACTCTATTCTATTCTATTCTATTCTATTCTATTCTATTCTATTCTATTCTATTTAGGATTTTCATCCAAGGAATCTTTCCCAAGTTCTCTCTGAGTTTGTTAAAATCAATTCTTAAAATCTAGGACTCTGGTATCATTATGTTCTATTGCTTCTATTTGCACTATGTTGAATTCTAGTATGACATGGTCACTCTCACCCAGGTTTCATGCAGTTTAACTCCTTCTATCACTTCTCCTCTGTTCATAATAATTGAGTCCAGTATGGCTGTCTCTCTAATTCCTTCCTCTACCTTTTCGACAACAAAGTTGTCAACTAGGTTGATTAGGAACCTATTTGATTTCTCACTTAGTGTGGAATTAGTCTTCCAATTGATGTCAGGATAATTGAAGTCCCCCATTACTATTGTTTCCTACATATATTTGTTAGTTGGTTAGCAAAAAGGACATCTATTTTTTCTGCTTGATTGGTATACACCTAAGGCCATGTCATTCTTTTTTTTTCTTTTATATTGACCTACTGTGTTTTCCTGAAAATAAGACACTGTCTTATATTTTTTGAACCCTGAAATAAGTGCTTGGCCTTATTGCCATGTGCTCAAAAGCCCAGTTGGGCTTATTATCAGGGGATATCTTATTTTGGGGAAAACAGGGTATACGCATTCTAGGAGGTTTTCGTCTTTGGTTTCTATAGTCACTGAATCTTGTGTCTCAGTGCTCCACATCAAACAAATTCCAAATCACATAATCCAAATTCACAAAGCAGTATGTGTGTCATTCATACATAATCTGCTCTTCCATTCCCAAACAATATTCCCCTAACAAAGGAGAATGAAAACTGAACCTGGCTTTATGTCATTGTACATTTCTATGATATTTATTATATATATATATATATATATATATATATATATATATATATATATATATATATATATATATAATTTAAATAAATATATTTTGTAACAATATTGTGTCATGTAACATTTCATTTGTTATGCTTAAATGTAATCTTTTTTGCTTAGCCCATTCCCTTAGTCATAAAAGACTGAGGAACTAAGATTAATCAAAAGTACAAGAAGTACCTACCTCAAAGTCCCAAAGAACAGAGAAATCCATAGCAGTGGGTTGTTCAGCCCTAGGTACAATTTTTCTAGGTATACTTCCATATGGCATACCCATTAACATCTATAACAAAATTATTTTTAATGCTTTGTGAAGTGCTAAAAATTTCTCACCTATTAATAACAGAATAAAACTCTACTTCAGTTTATAAGCAGACAAGGACACAGAAATGGTAAAAAAGATTGGAAAATACTCATTTCTATTCCAGTATCAAAAAGGAAAAGTGCTAAATAATGCTTAACCATATAATTGCACATACATTGCATGCAGATAAGAGTTTGTAATACAGGCTTCAACTGCCAGATGTACAAGATGGATTCAAAAGAAGCAGAGGTATCTGAGATCGTACTATTAACCAGTTGATAATGGAAAAACTTAGGAGTTGCAAAAAGACTAAAATAAAAGTTAAAATAAGCAAAAAAAAAAAAAATAGTAAGAGAACACCTGTCTGATCTTGATGAACACAAATCTCTGGGACCTGACGGATTACATCCCAGAATTCTAAAGGAGCTGACAGAGGTCATCTCAGAACCACTGTACCACATCTTTCAAAACTCCTGGAGCACCGGGGAACTACCAGAGGTCTGGAAAAGAGCTGATGTGGTTCCCAACTTCAAAAAAGGGAAAAAAAGCTGATCCAGGAAACTATAGACCAATCAGCCTAACATAATACCCGGGAAAATACTGGAGAAGATAATAAAAAAACAGATCTGCCAACATCTACCCTGTTTTCTCCAAAATAAGACATTCCCAATCGGGCTTTTGAGCACATGGCAATGAGGCCAAGCACTTATTTCAGGGTTCAAGAAAATATAAGACACGGTCTTATTTTCAGGGAAACACGGTAGAAACAAAGTAATAACTAGCAGTCAGCACGGGTTTATTAAAAACAGATCATGCCAATCTAATCTTATTTCATTCTTCAACATAATGACTAAATTAGTAGATCAGCGAAATACTGTGGACATAATATAATTAGACTTTAGCAAGACATTCAACAAAGTAGACCACAACCTACTTCATGGTAAGCTAGAAAAAAGTGGGATAGATAGCATCAGCAAAAAATGGATTTGCAACTGGCTGACAAACTGTTCTCAATGAGTAGACCTTAATAGATCTAAGTCTACATGGAGGGAAGTAAGCAGTGGGATACCACAAGGTTCCGTCTTAGGTACTCTTCAATATCTTTATAAATGACTTAGATGAGGGAATAGAAGGGGAATTTACCAAATTTGCAGATGATAGTAAGCTGGCTGGAATAGCTAACACCCTAGAACAGTGATGGCTAACTTTTTCCGGACCAAGTGCCCAAAGCATGCATGCGTGCGTGCAAACCCCCCAAATGCAACATGCGTGCAGCCCCCATGCATGTGCCCCACCCCTGGCATGCATCCCCCCACATGCATGCACACCCCGCCCTCACACATGCGTGCCTGCCCCCCCACAAGTATGCGCACTCCCCATGCAGGAGCCCACCGCATGTGCCTCCCCATGCCTGTGTGGCAAAGACCTGACAACCAGCTGGGTGGCTGGAAGAATTGGTATGATAACCCAGGAAGCAACAGTTAGAATTGAATATTGAAAATGGTTGAAAATTGGGAAAAGTATCTGCTAGGTTTCAATCTTTTAATTAAAAAGTGCTGATGCTAATATTTACAAAAAATCTGTTATCAAAGGTATGATAAATGATCTAATGGGAGAAAAACTAGGTGGAACATCAGTTGGAGATTAAATATTTAAAATATATAGAATTCTTTCCCACCTATTAGAATAGATATGATAACAGGATTTTTTTTCATCTGTTTTTTTTCCTTTACAGCATACTTGCAGTATGGATTGTTATACTAATATATTTTCTTGCATGGTTTTTTTCAATTCTGTTTTTCATTTTTGGAAATAAAATATTGATAGTAACAATGTTCACAAATATGCAATAGTTTCAATAGTTCCAACTTCATCTTAAATATTGCATAAGCAAAAATGTGGATTTCATTTATTTTTGGCAGACAGAAAACCTCTTTTTGCAGAAACTTCATGAATTATTTCCTTTTGAATGCACTAAAAGCACTATATTCATTTCTCTATGTTGTATTCAAACCTCTGTGAAAAATGAAGATCAAGTTGGGTCAATTATTCAAGCTTGGAGAGAACTGTTTTAATATTGAAACCCAAAGTTTGTACCACAATTACTGTAGAAATGTATGTGTGGGAGAAAATGTATGTAAGGACTGAAAAGAAAGAAACAGGCAAATGATAACCACAGAATGGCAAGAGGAGCTCAGTATGATGCATGTGTACATGTATAGATATTTATGTATGCTCCATTAAAAATAGCTGAGCCATGTTGAAAAGAAAGAATGCTAAAGATATTCATGTTCAGCAAAAAGAAGAAACACAAGGAGATGTATATTCCTTCCAGTTTTGAACAGTTAATGCACCCAAGATGTAACCATCAGAAGGTTCACTGAGCCAGGACATTCAACTAAATGTCTATATTTAATTTAAAGCTGAGAAATGGAATCCATAACTTAGCTTTTAGGGTTAATTTACACATACATTGGCATCATATACACTTATTTAAATAGGAATGAGATAGCAGGCATGGTAATGACTGCCATGTCTGATGGTATTTGGAGAAAAAAGGTAATGATATTCTAGATCACTTTTCACAATCTTAACTTCAGTCATTATATTGCCCAGACATCATGGGACTTCAGGGGAACTGAAGACTACGTTTTAAAAGACAGTAGCATGATGTTATCCTGGTTCAATATGCCCAATTTCATGTTATATGCCAGTGATGGCTAACTTTTTCCGGACCAAGTGCCCAAAGCGTGTGCCCCCAAGCCCCCAAAATGCAATGCGAGTGCTGGCCCCATGCATACGCCCCACCCCCATGCATGCGCATGTGCCCCCTGCATGCCCACGCCTCCCGCACATGAGTGGCAGAGATCCGATGATCTGCTGGCCAGCAGGAGGCGCACATGCGGCAGAGCTGAACTGGGGTGACGACTAGAGAGGGCACTGCATGCCACCTGTGGCATGCATGCCATACGTTCGCCATCATGGTTATATGCTGTATTATCTAGCCATATTGGAGCATACAGTATATGGAGAAACAATACGGTACTGGCTTAGATAACATTTCACTTGGCTTTCAATATGAATCTTTTCCAGTTAGAGTTAAAGGTGATCTGATCAAAGGAATGTGTTCCTCTACTTTTGGAGCAAATGTTGTGCAAGGATCCATTTTTTAATTTAAATCATTTTACCATTTCAAGGATCTTTAACACTTTCACCAGGCAGTAAGTTAGATGGGTTTCTGTTTAGATATGTTTAGAATTGAATAATCTCTCTGATTCCCCTTCCTCTTTCAATCCTTTTCCCTCTCTACATAAAATATTTTTAAAGCTCTAGCTCTGATTTTCAGTAAAGAATAATTTTGCATTGTTTTACAAGGTATTTATTTTGATATATGTACACACAGAGATGAAAAATTACTATTTTTTCTTCTCACAGTTCTGGACTAGGATGATATGTAACATATCTGGTTTTATTTTCTTCCTTAGCAGGGTTAGCTTTTAAAATTGGGAGGGAGAGGATTATTTTTAAATTTTTATTTTGTATATTGGACATTATAAACCAGCCATATGTATTGGCAAATAGGCAATCAATGCAGTAAAAATAACTAGCATGATAAAGAAATTATTTTTTCCCAATAATTTAGGTGTAAAATTAAAGTTGCATGGAATGATAAATGTATTACTCTATTTATACTGTAGTTAACTACACTTTCCAGATTAACTATTTATACTTACCTCTGGAATTATAACTAGCCCAAATATTAAGCCAAACAGAACCAGGTTTAGGCCATACATCCATCGCAGAAATATGAAATAAGATGCCACTGAAGAACCAAAATGACCTTAAAAATAAATAAGCTTCCATTAGAAAAGTTCTTGAAATTGAACTGTCTAGAGAACAGGATGGATTTGTAATGGACTATCAATTTAAATATGAGTATTTACTGTATGCATTCAGTTCTTTCTCCAAAATTATTTTGGAGGAAGAGGAAGAAGCAAATGTCTGAATCTGAAACTGATTCAATCAGATTTATAATTTCTTCCAGATTACTTTACATTTTCTAACTGCCTCAAACAGTGTTTGTCAACTTTTATATGTCCCCCCTTCATCAACTTCAATATGTCCCCTCTAAAATATCTAGGGTGTCTCAGTTGATGGTAGGACTATGTCAGCCCTTCGAGGAAGGCCTTGTCAAGAAACAGTTTTTTGCAAAATTCCTGGAACTCTATTTTATTGTTGAAGAGTATCAAAGCACTATTTTGAAAAGATATCAATGTCCTCTTATCTCATGCAGAATCAAAGCAAGGTTTTTTGAGTTTTTTCCCCACATAAGTCCTATCTTTCCCACGGCTAAGATGTCATTTACTATGTCTTTGATCTGTTAACAGCTCTTGCATTTTTCCATTATTATTATTTGCACCTTTCTTTATAGATCAGTTCCAAAGAGATTTCCATTGTATTTTTTTTAATGGTTTCTAAAATTGGCATGTTAAGCAAATCTAAGTAATTGCCATAAAGAAATATAATTTTCATTCTTTGCTGGAAGATTTTAATTACCTTCCCTTTCCATCATATATCTTGGGGAAGATATATTCCCCAAATATATCTTCGACTTTCTGCAATATATCATAATAGGGCTGAGGAATTCTTCAAAAGAGATACTCTGTAATATGTAGGAGCATGTACAGTGGTGGGTTTCAAATTTTTTTACTACTGGTTCTGTGGGTGTGGCTTGGTGGGCGTGACATGGCTTGGTGGGCATGGCAGGGGAAGGATACTGTAAAATCTCCATTCCCTCCCAATCCAGGGGACGGTTACTGCAAAATCCCCATTTCCTCCCGATCAGCTGGGACTTGGGAGGCAGAGAATAGATGGGGGTGGAGCCAGTCAGAATTTTTACTACTGGTTCTCCGAACTACTGGGATGGAGGCGGAGCTGGTGTCGCGACGGTACGGTGGGCGATCTTGAAGCTCCAAGATCGCCATCGATATCTCACTGCTGCACGGTCCATTTTGGACCTCACCATCCCATAGAGATGGTGATAGTGGAGGGCACATCCTGCTGATCCCAGGGATACCACAAAGTCCCTGGTTGATCCAGGAGAAGCCCTTTTTTCCAGCAACGAAGAGGTAGCCATTGAAGCTGCTGAAGTTGGGAGAGCTCCGAAACGGAAGAAGATGGGAAGAAAGTGTATCGGCTTGGTGAGATAATTTGAGAGAACAACAAATAATTGAGATTATTTGAGAGGACACTCTGAGGTCAAAAGAAAATTAAAATTGAAGACAGAAGAGGCTAAGTGGCGGAATTAAGCCTGAGTCTAATGTAGCTTTTCCTATTTTTTAATGTATTTTTACTTGTGGATGCTTATGGATGTTTCTATTTTTTAATTTGGACTGGACTGGATTGGATTGGAGATTTCCGTTTTATCTACTTAATTACTGAATTCTTAGTGACTTTTTGTACAAACTATTTTGTGTCCTACTTTTTGTTTACTTTCTTCTTTCATTTTTTGTTTTATTGTGTATTGAATTTATTTATTTATTTATTTTTATTTTATATTTTTATATAAGAAGGGAAGGGAAAGTAGAGATAATAAGTAACACTACCATCTAGTGGACTGAAATATTGTTTCCTTCCCCCCACCCCCTCTGATTTAAGAAGTAACAACTGTGTTACATTTCAAGGACTCGGAGCCTATTTATAGATAAAATAGTGGGAAGAGCATCAAAGACTGTTTATTCAGGTGTTCTTCTGGGAAACTATCAGTGGCAGGAGTCTGAGATTGAAAAGAAGAAGATTGCAGTGACTCTGGAAAGAGAGCTGTAAATAATTATTTGAAATTTAACTAAAGAATTTCGGTTATTATACAGAGGTGGATCTACCTTCCAGACAGAAAGTTTTTTTTCTCTGTTCTTTTCTTTTCTTTTTCTTTTTGGTGTTATTTCTCCACTTCCCCTCCTATTCAATTACTTTTAGCTGGTCTGTGGCCTATTGGAGGATTTTTTAACCTTATACACATATAGATTTTTTCCTATTGTCTTTTTCCCCTTTTCTTTTTTGGCTTTTTCCTTTTCCTTTTTTATTTCTTAGATTGGAGATTGTTAATTTGGTCAATATCTCTCTATTTAATTGGATTAAGGCATATAAGAGTCTGAAGATTTTTTTTCCTTTTTTCCCTCCCCCCCCTTTTTCTTTTTTCTTTTCCTTTTTTTGGGACAATATCTGTCCTCCATATAAGTGGATTAAGGTATAGAAAAACCTGAAGATTTTCTATTTGTTTGAAAAAAAAATTTAAATCACTACACAGAAATGAGTAGAAAGGCAACATTTATTGGTCCTTCTACATCGACTCCTTCCTCTTCACCATCCGGAGGACAATGATCAATACAGACAATGTTGTAACAAGAAAAGGAGAAGGAACGAGAGAAGGAAAAGGAAAAGGAAGTGACACTGCAGATGATTTGGCAAGGAATTCAAAAAATACAATCAACAGTAGAGAATATTGAACAGAGAACAGAAAAGATTGAACAAAGAACAGAAAAAACAGATGAAAAAGTGGAAAACATACACCAAATGATGAAATATGAGGACAGATTCCCAAAAATTGAAGAAAAAGAAGAACAAAGGGACAAAAAAAAATCAGAGATATTGACAGTAGATTGGATGAGGTTGAACGAGACAAGAGTGGAATAGGATGGGAAATGGATAGATCAGAATTTTACCTTAGATTTCAAAATATAGAAGAAGAAAAAGGAGAAAATTTGGCAGAAAAAATTATAGAAATTTTAGCAGAAGTACTAGAAATTACTAAAGAGAAGATGATGGATGGCATAGACGAGATATTTCGAGTCTTCACAAGATACGCAATGAGAAACAAGTTATCAAGAAAAGTCCACATAAGATTTACTAAGAAGTCAATTAAAACACAAATACTGCAGATTACAAGAGAGAAATTGTGGTTTTGAAGCAAATACCGAGAAGAATGAGGGAGATGAGAAGAAAATATCACCCTTTGACCAAAATATTATTTAAGAAAGATGTGAATTACCAATGGCTTATACCAGAAGGCCTGGTGTTCACATGGCAACAACAAAAAAATAGAATAGATTCAACTGATAAAGTAGAATTATTCTGTGCAGAATACCTTAGAGAGAAAGAAGAGGAGACAAGAAGAGAAGATACATTGATTGAATTACATGAGGAATGCCTTGCAACGATTGAAAAAGAAGAAGGTGGCAATGTGGAATATAGAGAACAACATGAACCAAGATCTACTAGAGCAATAAACCCTTCTTATAAAATATAAATATGGAAGAGAAAAAATTGATAACAATAAACATAAATGGACTTAATTTAGCTATTAAAAGAAGAAAGATATTCCATAAATTAGAGAAATTAAAGTTTGATATAATCTGTTTACAAGAAGTACACATTAAAAAGCAGCATGAACAAATAATGATACAGCCAAAATTAGGGAAAATATTTACTTCACTGCCACTATATAAGAAAAGAGGAGTCGTTTTATATATTAGAGACACAACTCCAGTGGTGCAAATTTATTCAGATGATGATGGAAGAATTTTGATGGTGGAAATAACAGATAATAATATGAAAATACTTTTGATAGCAATATATGCTCCAAATGAATTTTATAGAAAATTACATATGAAAATAATTGAATTGGACTATGATAATATTTGCATGATAGGAGACTTCAATGGTATAGTAGATAAGAAATTAGATTACAATACACAGAAAAGAACAAAGTAAAGTAGAAAGATTCTTCCGAAATCCTTATTTAAAATGATTGAGGAAATAAACTTAAAAGATACATGGGGGGAAAGAAATGCAAAAAATAGACAATATACTTTTTTATTCAAATAGACACTCATCATAGTCTAGAATAGACATGATATGGACGACAATGGATTTGACTTCTAACATAGAAGAAATTGACATAGAAGCAAACACCTGGGCAGATCATAACCCAATGACAATGAAATGGAAAGGAGAAGATCTAGATGGACTTTAAATAATACAGTACTAAAAGAAAAGGAATTTATACAGAAAATGGAAAAAGAATTGGCTTTTTTCTTTAAAGAAAACAGAAAAGAGGACACATCAATGCAAAATCTTTGGGATACAATGAAAGCCTATGCTAGAGGTTTGATAATAGACTATACAAGGAAAAGAAACACTAAGAAAAGACAAGCTTATAAAACATTAGAGGATGATTATAAGAAACTTGAAAAAAACATTAGAGGATGATTATAAAAAACTTGAAAATTTCCACAAAAAAAGGACATTAAAATAAAAATGGACACAATTAAATATAAAATGGGATTAATAGAAAAAGAGGATTTAGCACAAAAAATTAGAAGTGCCAAACAGAACTATTTTGAAGACGCAAATAAACCAGGTAGATGGTTAGCATATAAACTGAAAAAAGAGAGAGAATCAAGAAAAATAACACAACTAGTAGATGATTAAGGGCAAATTAGATATGGGAATAAAGAGAAGAAAAAAATTATACAAGATTATTATAGAAAACTCTATGAGCAAGAGAACGTTGAGGAGAAAGTGATAAACAGTACCTGCAAAAAGCAAATTTACGCCAGATTTCTAAAGACACTGAAATGATGTTAGAAGGAAATATAACGATGATGGAATTAACTGAAGCACTTAAAAAACAAAAGAATGGGAAGGCACCAGGCCCGGATGGACTGCCAATGAAATATTATAAGACACTACAGGAGTCATTGAGTCTCACACTGTTAGAAGTCATGAATGAAGTCATGTCAAAGATGAAATTACCCAAGTCATGGTCAGAAGTGTAATATATGCCCAAGTCATGGGCATATATTACACTTGTTCCAAAGGAGGATACCGACCCACAACAAATCAAGAATTATAGGCCTATATCCCTGCTAAATTCAGACTATAAAATCTTCGCTTCAATACTGGCAGAAAGACTTAAAAGATATTTAAATAATTTCATACATTCTGATCAAAATGGGTTTCTGCCAAAAAGACAGATTAAAGATAATATGAGGATAATTCTGGACACTTTGGAATATTATGAGGCACATCCTGAAAAACAAATGGCTTTGATATTTCTAGATGCACAGAAAGCCTTCCATAATGTGAATTGGCGATTTATGTTATTACAGCTGGAGCAGATGGGCTTTGATAGAAAATTTATTCATGCCATAGAAGCCATATATCACAAACAAACAGCAAAAGGAATGATAAATGGAGAATTGACAGAGTCTATTGAAATAAAAAAAGCAACGAGACAAGATTGTCCACTGTCACCTCTGTTGTTTGTGCTAACAGTAGAAGTGCTAAATAGAAATATCAGAGAAGAAAAAGATATAAAAGGAATGAAAAGGAAGAATACAAATTGCAAGCTGCAAGATGACCTAGTTTTTATTTTTGAAGATCCATTACAAACAGCAATTAAACTGATAGACAATATAGGAGAATATGGAAAAGTAGCAGGTTTGAAAATAAATAAAGACAAAATGAAGATTTTGACAAAAAATATGTTAACAAAACAAAAAGAAGAGCTGGCTGAGGTATTGAAGATACAGGTCACAAATAAGGTTAAGTACTTGGGGATATACGTGACAGCAAGATGTAGTACACTTAAAGAGAACAATTACAATAAACTCAAACAACAGAAAGTGACCGATTTGGCAAAGTGGGAAAATTTACAACTATCATTAATAGGGAGAATTTCAACGATTAAGATGAATATACTACCTAGAATTCTATACTTGTTCCAGACAATTCCAATTAGTTTGAGGAAAGATTTTTTGAAAATTTAAATAAAATAGTATTGAAATATATTTGGCAGAGAAAAAAAGCGAGGATAAAACTAAAATTGTTGCAAGATGCTAGAATAAGAGGAGGATTTGGCTTGCCTAATTGGGAATTATATTATTAAGCGACAAATTTGATGTGGATCAAGGAATGGATAACATTAAGAAATACTAGATTATTGACTTTAGAAGGACATGATTTGTTGTTGGGGTGGCATGCTTTTTTATGGTACAAGGGAACAAAAACACAGGGGTATTTTAGAAGACATTTTATATGAGAGGCTTTGCTATTAAATTGGGAGAAGATTAAAAGACAACATTATTTAAAAATTCCAATCTGGTTATCAACTATTGAAGCATTCTCATATTCAATAACATTTAGAAAGGAACAAATTGTTAGATATAGTGAATTACTGAATGAAAAGGGTGAACTTAAATCTATGCAAGAATTAGAAGAACAAGGTATAAAGATGAATTGGTTTTCTTATTTGCAAATACATTCTAGATACGATAAAAGATTTTAAGACAGAAGTTTTTTATGATAATTTGACTAATTTAGATAAAATTCTAACAGGTTCTGATGAAAATGTAATTAAAAAACTATATGGATATTTATTAGAGGTTAAATTGGAAGAAGAACAAGTTAAAGAAACAATGATTGGTTGAGGGAAAAATTTTGGACATGGGATAGATTTAGAGAAATGGCAAGAATTGTGGTCGCAAAATTATAAAATGATAATGTCAACTGCTTATAAAGAAAATTTGTATAAGATGTTTTACAGGTGGCATCTACCCCCGACGAGAATAGCCAGAATGTTCAAGAATAAATCTGAAAAATGTCGGAAATGTCATCTGATACAGGGTTCATATTACCATATGCAGTGGACGTGTGCAGAAGCCAAAAGATACTGGACTAAAATCCACACATGGTTGGAAAAAATGACAAAAAAACACATAGATTTTAAGCTAGAGATTTTTTTATTGGGGATTGTACCTGGAATATATAATAGAGAATTGAGATATTTGATTGTGAATGTATTAACAGCGGCTAGAATTGTATTTGCTAAAAATTGGAAAAATGAGAAAACACCAATGCAAGATGAAATTATTAAGAAAATAATGGAATGTGCTGAAATGAGCAAATAGACATTTGAAATTAGAGAACAAGAAGATAAACAATATTATAAGATATGGGATTTATTTTATCAATGGTTAGATAAAAAATATGGAAATGAAACATGATAGAGATTTTTAAAACATAAGAATTGTAGAAATATATAAAATATAACATAAAGATGTATTATTATTGGATCAATTTAGGATGATGAAATGAAGGTTATAATACAAATTAACTTAAATCTTAGAATATTTCGTATAAAATGAGGGAAGAATAGCTATAGTTAAATAAATGATTAATGAGAACAATAATACATAGATATATATTAGATTGATAAATATGAGAATTTAGGTAAACTGTGAGTTATGAATATGGTGAAGACACACAAAAGACTTGTAACCAACTTACACACTGAGTGTTATTGAAGATGGCTTTATGTATGTTTTGTTTAAAAATTTAGAAAAAATTCCAAAAAAAATTCGCTACTGGTTCTCCAGAACTGATCAGAACCTGCTGAAATCCACCTCTGAGCATGTATGAATGAATGAAATCAGGTAGACATTTTGTGGATATAAAAATATCAGTGGACAACTCAAGAAGGTTTTTCCCAAACAACAAAGAGAAACTAGACTGCTTTAAAAAAACCTCAGAATTAAAGGCTTATGATTTATAAGTTTACAAAAGTTCCCATGATAGCTCCAATTGTATGGATAGGCAAGGAAATGAGTACTTACTCTGTCTATTCCATCTGATGAACTGCAGTTTATGATAGTGTATGTGTTTTAATAGAATTTATTAGTTGGAAAAAAGTTATTTTTTTAAAAAAAGAGTTGAGAGAATTCTGCAAACACCATAGTAAAATGACAGCATACTCATAATGAGAAAACAGGTTATTTGTATGAAGGTATTCATTATTTTGCAACTCAGTTTCTAGGTGAATATTACCATTTTCTTTCCTTGTAGTATGAGAGGTCAAGGCTGAACACAAAGATAAAGAGGATACTAATGCCTTAATGATGGTGATCACTATATTTAATGTAATAAAATATTTTACTTGAATATACTTTTATGAATAATATTGAAAACAATTTATACATTTTGTGAAGGAGGACATGTTTTGTGTTATGAGTTGATAATAATATTCAGACATGTAGGTTAAGTGGATAAATGTTAACTTACTTTCAACTTCTTTTATCTTCATTTCCCAAGGTATACATTGTGTCTTAAAATTATCAAAATCTCTCTTAAATTTGACCCATTTCTGAAAAGAAACAAAGCAAAACAAAACTTTTATTCAAGGCTAAAGTAAAGAAAGACTTGGGAAATGTTTTGTGGCTTGAAAATTGAAGATGTGCTGGGCTTATAAATCTAATGCATTTCAATTAAACCTGATCCCTCTGACAGGTCAAAAGAACATGTTTTCTGTTTGTTTTTCCAAGAATACCATTTAAATGTGAATGTGACAGTTGCACAGCTTATAGAGAATGATAGTTCAGTAGTTACGCAAGATTTTGTTATTTTTCTGTACCCACACAGGAGAGAGCTTCTTTAAGAATTGTACAACTCAAACAGGGGAAAAAGGTGTTGTTAATTGGCATCTTGCCTTGTCAAAACAGAAAACAACAATTTGCTATGTTATTCTAGGCAGCAAAACCTACTGTTATAACTCAGAGTCACCTAGCTAAGCATTTAAGTTTATACAGCTTGGAGATGGAAAATATGCATACAAAAGATGATATGGTCAAAATATTCAGTTGCCTAATAATTGTGCACATGGAGTAATGATGCCAAGAAGAGTAGTCAGGATCTGAAGTTCCTGCTCAAAACTGCTAGGTTAAAAGTTGTATAAACCCCTCCCCTCTGTCCAGTTTAAGGTGAGCCAATCCACAGGTGTGAAGTTATTATGAGAACTTCAAGCTGAGAACGTGATAAGAAGTTGTTCTCAGGTGCTGCTTGCTTGTTCCACATGAGCTGAGACAAGACAGATAGCCCCAGGCTCATCCCTCCCCACTCCCATTCCCAGGAAGGTACATAAAAGTAAAGGAAAGACTAGAAACAGGAAGACCCTAAAATGTCATCCAGGCCCCCTCCCACCAGAATGGCAGCATCCTGATAGGGATCTATGGTGACCTGACACAAGTTGTTTCAGTACTGTGAGGTATAAGTGTAATGTACTAAATCTGATACTTACATTGAATTTATATTCTGAGTGAGCAGTCTCTGGGCCACACAGTATGTTGCTAACACACTAACTCTCTTTAAATTCCCAAGTTTAACTGATCTATTTGACATAAATAATTCATAATTTGTTTCACCACCTGCACATGGAAATAGTCAGGCCTGCCTCCATTCAAAATGCAATAAAATACTCCCTGACTCCATTGAGGTAGAGAAGAGTACTTTTACTGAGTTTGAAATGATAGTGGTGAAAGCAACACAAGATCTGATTCAAAAAGCACGAAAGTTGCAGGTTGAAAGTTTCCCCAAATCCCTTCCCCCAGGGCTCCAGGCTGAATGTCCAATCCACATCCCTCATAATGTCATGTGACTACAGGGTGATTTTAGCCCAGGGGTGAAATGCTCCTGGTTTGGACCGGCTCGGGCGAGTAGGTAGCGATGGCGGCGGGCAGTTCGGAGAACCGGTAGCAAAAATCCCTCTCCCCCCCAGCCTCCAGCTTGCTTACCTTCGCACGCCTGCCTTGCTTCGCTTGCTGTAATCCCTGCAATCCATTGCAGGCAACTGAATCTCCCTGCCTGCAATCAAGCTCATCGGTGAGCAGCTCTTTCTGCCTACCTGCCTGCCTGTAAGTTTTTTTCCCCTTTGGGAGCTTTAAAGAAAATAGTTAATTGGGGGTTTTTTTAGTTGTTCTTGTCACAAGTAAATGCCTTATTCTCCATTATGTAAATAGTACATGAACAGGGTATCAGGGGTTAACTTATTCTTCACCTCTTAATGTATTCATATTTCACCACTCCCATATCTAGCTCCACCCATTGTATATATAAGGAGCCGCATACGTCCATTTTGAGCTTCTATCTGTGAATATTCAGTGAATATAGAATGCCTTATGTAAATAAATAGTGATTTATTTGAATTATAACTCTCAACTTATTTATTGAGTCTGATCCTGAAAATATCGTAACAATCTGGTAGCAGAGGATGGTTAAATTGACTCAATAAAAACTTAAACATGTCTAAAAGAGATAGGCCCAACACCAGGGCATACAGCAAAGAAATGGAAGCGGATCAAGAAATAATCGATGAGTCCACGAATGCAATTTCGAGAGAATCCGAAGAATACACCACAGACGACGAAGAAATAATAAATGAAGATGATGACCAAGAAGAAAACGAAATAGAAAACAACGAACTCAGGTCAGAGATACTGAAACTTTTAAAAGGCCAAAAGAGCGATGAAAGTCTCATCGCGAATCTCCAAGATATACTAAAAAACAACGGAGCAGCGAAAGAGAAGCACATCGCTACTGAAAAATCAAAGGACTGAAAAATAGTGAGTAATATGATTGCAGATGAAAACGCAACAAAGAAGAAAACCAACAATCCCGCGCAAAATTTCGAATGGCAGCCATCTTGGTTTCAACAGACCCCTAAGATGAGCGAAGCAGAGCCAATCAGAAAGCAGGATTCAAAATATCTGGCGCGAAAAGCCTTACCCGATGCAAAAATGAAAGAGAAAAAATATATACCTCAGAAGAATCAGACACAGAGAACGAAGAAGATTCAATAGACATGCAAGTAAAATCAGCAATGAAAACGCTTTTTGCAGCATTTGGACCGAAACTGAAGATCACTAAAAGATCAACAAAAAAACAAGCAAGCGAGCCAACGCCTCAAAATCTACCCGCTCCTATCCAGACGGCGAGAGCACCGACGCCTGAGCCCAGAGAGCCCTGCAGATACCGCCCCACGCCGCAGACTGATCCAAGGACCAACACCTTCAGCGAAAGAAAACGAGCGCCCGCTATCACCAGGACTCCAAAGATCGAGCCGGAGACTGATTCATCGGGAGAAGAACAGAGCGAGAGAGCTGCAGCAGCGAGAACCTCTCACGATGATTCCAGAAACGAAATGAGCAACGCGCATGCGCAAGACTACGCAGACAACTTCGGGAGACATGAGATGCGGAGAGAATCATGCAAACTCGTCGCAAGCATCCCCACGCCGTTTTGCAACTTTCGTCATTTGCAAGACCACGGACTACCTCCGGTTGTAAGTAATGGACCCAACAATGTTGGGAATTTACCCAATGACTTTCCAAAGCTGAGAATAGATGGCATTAATTTGCAAGAATGGTATCAGCAGCTCCAGGTTGTCTTTATGAAAGAAAATTTACTCTTCTTTATTACTAACCCCCCAAAAAGACCTTGGACTCTAAAGTTAGATTGCCTACACCATAGAGCATTCTTCTTATTGATTTCCAGTGTATCCTCAGCCATATATCACAGTATTAAGCAAAATCTGACTGTCTCAGAAATTATTCAATGCATGTTTAATTTATTTCACAGTGAAAGTGTAGCCACTACCACAAGAATGTCTAAAGATTTCTTCTCTTCTAGGATAAAGCCAGGGGTTTCCATAAGTGAACATTTAATATCTTTAAACAAAATTAGAGCAGAGCTGCACTTAAGGGGGGAAGTAATTTCAGATCAAAAGATGAAAAGTGTTATCATCAACTCACTTGACCCATCATGGGATAATTATATGTCACATTTAGACACAATCAATCTAGGATACTTATCCATAGAAAGTCTATCTAACAAGTTAATAGCTGAGGACAATTCAAGGAGGAGTCGTTATAACAACCACATAGAACACAAACAATATAAAAAGGTAGCATTTCAAGAAAGATATTATGAACCATTTAGATGCCACGATTGTGGGTCCAGAGAACATAATAGGAGGGATTGTCCTAAAATTCTAAGAGAAAAACACAGGTCAGAATATAGAAACAGGTACAACAACAGACAATCTTCCATTGATAGACATAGGTATAGAAGTCCACCCAACTATAGAGAACGTAGAGGGGGCAGAGACAATTCAAAGGATAGAAAGTCTGGTTCACTGAATGGGCTAGACAAACATGACAACATTAACATACAACAACCAGAGAACAACAATTGGCTTATTGATTCTGGAGCAACCAATCACACTACAAATAATAAAAATATATTATCTTCTTTTGTAGAAGATAAATTTGTAATCAAAGTAGCTAATCAAGAAAAGGTTCAAGTAATAGGTAGAGGGAATGTAATCTTACCAGGTCTAGGAAAAGTAGAGGGGGTATTATTAATACCTGAGATACCTCATAACATACTTAGTGCGATAAAACTAAGCAGAGATTCTGACATTAACATTGTGTTCTCAAAAGGAAAGGCAACATTAGAGAAAAACAAAACAAACATAGGCACAATAATAATCAAAGGAGGTCTACCTTATTTAACGACAAAGGAGAAATGGTTAAACAACATTGATTCAAATATGGAAGATGACAATGAAATAGATAATGAAGACAATAGTAACAGTGACAATGAGGAACATGAAGTAACTCATAACCACAAAGATACACACAATAAAAAAAAAACTAAAATAGGTAAACCAATTCACGATGAGTGTGCTCATGTTTTACATAGGAAACTAGGACATGCCAGTTTTCCTGTAGTGCAAAAGATGACTGAACATGCAGAAGGTGTTAAAATAAAAAATTGTGAAAACTATTTGGAATGCTCAGTATGTAAATCTACAAAACTCAAAACTAGTCCCAGACCTAGGAAGTCAACGAGATCAACCAACAAAATTTTTGATTTGGTACACATGGATCTAGTTGGTCCATTAACACCATCAATCACTTATAAAAATCGTTACTTTCTAACCATTGTGGATGATTATAGTCGTTACGGATTTGTTTACACATTAAAACATAAAGATGAAACCTTTCAGAAATTTAAGGAGTTTTACAAACGTATAGAAACACAACACAATATTAAAATAAAACAAATCATGACAGATAGGGGATGTGAATTCATGTCTAAGGAATTCTCCCAATGGCTAAAAGACAAAGGAATGTTACATTACACATCTAGCCCATTTTCTGCATTCCAGAACGGAGTGGTAGAGAGAAAGAACTCAACATTACAAACCATGATTAGATGCACATTAGAGGATGCTGGCTTAGGTAAACAATTCTGGTCAGAAGCCCTACAATACTCTAATTACACACAAAACAGAACTTGGTCCAGTAT